ACAGACTGTGAGACACAAATGTACTTGTTTTTATTTTTCAGCTTTATGGATATGGAGTCCAAAAATATGTTTCCGATATCACTAGTGAGAATGCAGAATCTTTCCGCTTCAGCCTGCTGCAGTTCATCAAACTGGAAGCCTTTACAGATGAAGGTGGAGTTCAGCTTGCTGATGGAGGATGGCTGGTCCCCAGCAATGATGGGACTGCGGGGAAAGAAGAGTTTTATAGGTATTACTGAATCACACTTTGTGTTAAATGAATTAGAGTAATCAGGTTTAGCAATAAAATATAAGCTTAATATACTAAATATCTCGTCCTTATATGCCCACAGAGCTTTATGTGACACCCCGGGTGTGGATCCTAAATTGATCAGTGAAGCATGGGTGTACAATCACTACAGATGGATTGTGTGGAAGCAGGCCTCTATGGAAAAATCTTTTCCAGAAATAGTGGGCAGCCGGTGTCTCACACCCGAGCAGATTCTCCTCCAACTTAAGTACAGGTATGTGCAACTAAAGCTTGCTCAGATATTTATGCAGTTGTAGGTCACTTTTTAATTTGCATATCTTGTTGACAAATAAGTGTTGTTATGCTTTTCTAACTGCCATTTTGTATGGTATTTTACAGGCAAAATAAATGTTGAAAATATAGACTTTGCAGTGAATTACACTTTTAGCTAATTATGCTGAATACAATGGGATAATGTTAAATGTGGGATACAAATGTTGGCATCTACCTAGCAAAATAGCTGCTAGGTAATTATTGACTCAATTTAATGTATTCATTGATTTTTTCTAAAACATATTCTGTTTATGTCAGATATGATGTAGAGGTGGACCACAGCCGCAGGCCAGCTCTGAGAAAGATCATGGAAAAGGATGACACGGCAGCCAAAACCCTGGTTCTCTGTGTTTGCGATATCATCTCCAGGGGTCACTCCCCAAAAACACAGAGTCACAATGACACCAAAACCCCTCACAGTGCAGATGCAAAGGTTGAAACTTCAGCTGCACTCATTTGGCTGACAGATGGTTGGTATGCCATTAAAGCTCAGCTGGATGAACCTTTGACTGCAATGGTTCACAAAGGTCGACTGACTGTCGGGGGCAAGTTGATCATCCATGGGGCTCAGCTGGTCGGATCACAAGATGCTTGCTCCCCTCTGGAGGCGCCTGAATCTCTGATGTTAAAGGTAGTCTAAGACAGAGACCACAACTTTTATCTCTACACAACACAACCAGAAAAGAAGGTGTCTTACTTCCGCTTCATGTGTTTAGATCTGTGCCAATAGCTGCAGACCTGCACGATGGGATGCTAAGCTAGGATTTCACAAGGATCCTCGGCCATTCCTCCTTCCAATCTCCTGTTTGTATAGCAATGGAGGTCCAGTAGGATCTGTTGACATTGTTGTACTGAGAAGCTATCCCATGCAGGTGTGCACTGATATATAATCACTGTTAGTCAGATTTGGGTTTTATCCTTTTTAACTCTGTCTAATATGTATTTCTCAGTGGATGGAGAGGAAGCCAGATGGCAGTGTTGTATTCCGTTCTTCACGTGCAGAAGAGAAGGAGGCGAGACGATACAACAGTCACAAACAAAACGCAATGGAAATCTTATTTGCCAAGATTCAATCTGAATTTGAAAATGAAGAAAAGGGTAAGGATCAGGTTTACAACAAGTTGAACAAGCTGCTACAGTCTGAAATTCGATAAGTTTTTTATAAGCTTTTATCTTTAGGGAGTATCAAACCACAGCGGCGAAGAAAAACAATCAGTCATCAAGAAATTGCAAATCTGCAGGATGGAGAAGAGCTGTATGAAGCAGTGGGAGATGATCCGGCTTACCTTGAGGTAGTAAAACATTTGCTTTACAGATTGTTGGCCTAATTTCAGCTGTGAAGGGTTTTAGTATATTATTTTTCCCCTCTTAGGCTCATTTGAGTGCACACCAGTTGGAGGCCCTTCATACCTACAGACGCTCTCTGATGGAGAAGAAGCAGGCTGAACTGCAGGATCGATATCACCGTGCTCTGGAAGCAGAGGAGAATGAAATGAACTGCCCCAAACGAGAGGTTACACCCGTGTGGAGACTCTGCATTGCCGACTCCATGGAGCAACCCGGCAGGGGTGTGTCTTCATTTGTCTTCTTGTTTGACTCTTTTTTTTTTTTTTATAATTACTGTAACTTGCAAACTACGTTGTGCTAACTTTTTTTTGTTTTAATCTTGGTTTCAGTTTACCAGCTGAATCTTTGGCGACCTTCCTCAGATCTACAGTCTTTACTAAAGGAAGGCTGTCGATTCAAAGTCTATAACCTCACCACTTCAGATGGAAAGAAACGTAGCTGTATCGAACCTGTTCAGCTCACTGGGACAAAGAAAACACAATTTCAAGAGCTACAGGTACTGTAGGAAACAAACTCCCTTTAGCACATGTGAATTTTTTTTTTTTACCGTTTATAAATTAAACATGTCATTGAAACTTTTGTAATGTTTCCATTCAGGCATCACATGAATGGTTGTCAACATACTTCCAACCAAGAGTTTGCACAAATTTTTTGAATCTTCAAAATCCAGATTTTGAGCCACTGTGTGGAGAAATTGATCTAGCAGGATATGTCATCAATGTTGTAGATGGAAAGGGTAGGTGTTTTTTTGTTTTTTGTTTTATCACTTGCTTTTCTTACAACTGCTCGCATCAAGTTAGCTGAAAAGTCGTCTTCTTTTGAACACAGGTTCATCTCCTGCATTTTATTTGGCTGATGAGAAACTGAATTTTGTGAAAGTTCGCTGTTTCAGCAGCTTGTCTCAGACTGGTCTAGAAGACGTGTTAAAACCACGCGTCATATTGGCTCTGAGCAACCTCCAGCTCAGAGGTCAGTCAATGCATCCCACGCCTGTTGTGTATGCTGGAGATCTGACAAGTTTTTCTACAAATCCTAAAGAGGTTCATCTACAGGAATCTTTCAGCCAGCTTAAAACTCTGGTCCAGGTAAGATGCTAAAATCAAAACCTTAAAAGCTGCTGATATTCTTCAGAAACTGCTCTCTCACAGCAAAAGTGCTAATCTCCTCAGTACTAAAAATTGTTTTGTAGAAAATGTAATAAAGTAGTGTACTAACATATTTTTTTTTCCTTGTTTATCTTCATCTCAGACTTATTTGAATGCAATAAAATGTTAACATTTTCATCACTTTTCTTTTCAGTGTCAGGAGAACTTCTTTGTAACTGCTGAAGAGAAGCTTTCAGAATTAGTCAGATCAAATGGCCGTAGCTACAGCTCCTCTCCAGCTCTCCAAAGACAAACACCAGCTTCTCTAACAGACAGAAGACAAGACATAAAATCAAGTGTGAGTTTAACTTCATGCTGTGGTATCTGGTGTTTTTCAGTATATCTGTTATAACATAATGTCATCTAGTAATATATCAGTTCTAAGCCCATCATCTTGATTGTGTCTTTTTATACAGGTGATTTCTCAGAAGCCAGGCAGAAACCTTGGATCCGTCACACCTGTCAGCAGGAAGTCTCCTACACCAACATCTTCAGCAGAAAAAGATCCCAAAAGCCTGAAAAGAAGGAGAGCACTGGACTATCTGTCTCGTATCCCGTCTCCGCCACCTCTTTCCCATCTGGGCTCAGTGGCTTCTCCATGTGTAAATAAGACATTCAACCCACCTCGGAGGTCTGTGACACCAAGCACTTTAAAAACTGTACAGACACCATCTCACAAACCCGCTGACTCACTAGGGGAGGATGAATGGGTGAATGATGAGGAACTGGCTATGATTGATACCCAGGCACTGCGTGTTAATTTAATCTAGATACATACCACTGTGTGATGACAAACACGCTACAGCTTTTCAATTGACTGAATGTAGATGTTAAGGTTCTGTGTGTATATAACACATTTTTTTAGGGTTTTTTGTAGACTTGTTGGCCTCATAAAATGGGGAAAGTAAATATTGAAATCATGTCACTTCACAATGTTTTACAATTTTATACTTGTTTCTGTGAGGTTCCTGCATTCAGTGTTAAATAAATTCAGAATTTTATTCTAGCAGTTTTGGTCTGTGGGTCTGTTTTTGCATTTAAAGACGAACACCTTCAGGGTTGAGAAACTGGTTGATTCTTGTAGTAATGTATTGTTGTTTGGGGGGTTTACATCCTTACTGCCTTCTTAGGAATTAAGAAGGGAAGTAGCAGCTACTTGCTGTTAATGAACTGTACTTGATTAATTGATCGTCAACAAGTTTGAGCATCTATATAAAAGTACAGCTCGGGTTTGCCAAATTGCATCTGAAATAATCACATAATATAGTTTGGTTGCATTCATTTATACAAGCATAACTTCAATGAACTGAAACAATGTAAAGAAGATATGAGAGGCTGATAAAGTCATACAGAAAAATGATTCCTCTAGACTACAAATGAGCAAATTCCTTTAGTCATTTTACTAAAGGTGGGAACAACTAATTAAGGGTTATTAATCAAGGTAAGATTTGTCAGTTATGTCAAACTGACAAATATTGATTTATTTTTGGAAGCTTTAAAAAAGGTTTATAGGTACAAGAATACAGTATAACTTAAAGAAATTCACCATATAAAAAAGTTTGTAATAACCACTTTGAGTGATCTTGATTCAAAGCGTTAAGTATTTCACCATTTTGCTACACCACTAGTGATTAGTTTGTGGAGATGTCACAAGTATATCGATTTGATTTAGCTGTTTTCGCTTAACTGTAATGCTGACTTGGACTTTTTTTTTTCTTTTTTTTTTAATTCTGGTCTCTTTTTTTAAAATTTATTTAGGTATTTTCAATATAAAGATGTCAGGAAGCAGTTTATAATGCAGTCCAGGGCAGTGAATAGCAACTGCTCACATACGCTATAGAAACGCAGGCATTATAAAATACAGCGGGACTCGGTGAAGTAGTTACTGCTCTTTGTATAAAGTAGCTCTTTGTACCCATTTTTGTCACTACCCCGTCGCCTTTCAGTCCCGCTGGTGTCGCTCACGCAACGAGTGGCCAGGATGCCTGCCATTAATAAGAGAATAGAAGAAGAAAGTCACTTCCGTAAACACAAGGCAAGTGCGATTTTGAATCTGCACACCGGTTAATGTGGGTTTCCCCTGAATTTATGCATCCCCAGTATGAACGGTAGGCAACCGTGAATATCGTCCGTTACTCTATTATTTTACGTTTACGTAGTGAACAATTTTGTTTATTTATTTATTTATTTTTCTTGTTTTCTGTGCAACTCGTGTTGTGGCACGTTAGCCAAAGGTTAATGGTTGGCAGAAGACATGGTTTCGATTTTAGCTGATTAATCTACGGTGTGTTTAATCATGTGCACTTGTATTTACATATAAACCCAGCCCAAAAAGCAAGCCAAATGTTTTTGGTGGATGTATATATTTTGTGACATGGGTTATTGACAAAAAGTCTTATACCGTTGGAAAGTCTGTTTATTTCCCTTTACATTTGTAAGGAAAATGAAAAACTCGCCAAATCTTTTCTGCCAATGTCAAGGGTCTTATTCTGCTATTGACTCTTAGTTTGAGCTTCTGGCACCCCATGTGTTGACAATCACGTGCCTTATTGGTGCCTGATTATCAGCACCTGTGAGCATGGGCTCTAATGAGATTTCTCCTATCGCAGTTGGATCATAGAGACAGACTGTGGATAAGATGCAGGGAACTTTATGCTGATTGGATAGCGTAACAGCTTTTGGTGGAAACAGTGTGATGATATGGAGTGTCATCTCCCTCACTGTAAAAACAAGGCTTGTCATCATTGGAGGCAATTTTAGTGCAGAAAGATCCCCACAGTCTGGAACTAACCTTTATTCTCCACGATCACAACACTCACCCTGACAGAGCGGGGTTTATCAAAGTCCCATTGAATATTTTTGGGATCAGCTTAGGCTTTGTGGGCGTTTGTGCCAGAATGACCAACACAACCACATTGGCTGACTTGTGACAAATGCTGGTTGACAAATGGGATGGCATCCCACAGCAGTGTGTGACCAAGCTGTTGACCAGCATGAAAAGGAGATGGCAGGCTCCTGTTTGTTTAATTAATAAATTATTAAATTGGCAAAATGCTTTCTTTCTTCAGACTTTAATCATCACACTCCAGTAAATAACACCAAACAAGAGACAGAAGCAGAATAAGATGTGTGGCTGGCATCAGCAGAGAAGATTTTTCATGGGTGCAACCCACATATTCAACTCTTCTGCTCAACCCAGAAATGCATTTTCCTTACAAATGCGGCACCATTTCAGGTCAAATAAACAAGCTTTCCACAAGCATAACTCTTTTTTTTTTTCTTTCTTTTTTTTTGCCAAAAAGCGTTGTTACAAAGAAATAATCAACCAAACATTTTCTTACTTTTTCTGCTACGTTTATAAATTGACATAGCAGCACTGAAAAATCTATAAGATAAAATAAATAAAGCAAAATAATAAGAATAGGAATAAAATACAGTATTATTATGTAGTATTTTTGTGGTGTTTCAATGTTGTAAGTATTCTAATCTGTTTTCATCCAGATGTCTCAGCCTGAATTATGTTGTACAACCTCTGATGCCATAGAAACATCTTGTGTGAGTGAGGATAAAGAAGCTTGTAAAGATGACTCTGCTGACACAAACAGTAAGTGTGTGGGCACTGACGGTGGCGCTCCAGACAGCAGTGTCAGGGACCGCGTGTTAAGGGAGGTAGGATTCACCAGCTCTGCCTTCATCGGTCCAGCATTTCCTCCACAAACAACTGCAGCCGAGTCTGTCATTGAAGACTCGCTGAGTGAGTTTTACAAAGAGCTTGAGAAGATCAATACCCCTGATGGTGCTAATGGTAACCCAGGGAAACAAGATGCAGCTTTTGATCAGCCACTTGTACCTACTAAATTACCCACCAGCAACAAAACTCAGGATGTTCCTGAGGAGAAAATTGCTACCATGAGGGACTTTGAAGAAACAGATGGCTCCCAAAAAAGCAATGGAAGAAAACAGCCAGCATGGCCTCACTGGTATCAAAATGAGCCATACAATCCCAGGAGGCAGAGGCCAGGCCCGGAGCTGAGCTCTCCCCAGTGGCGTCATCCACAACCACTGGACAGGCCACCACACCTGAGATTTCAGAGGCCACCATTCCCTCACCAACCACCACCGTATGCATTCCCAAATCTACAAAACCCACCACCACATGTGAACCCTACCTTTCAACATCCAAGCATGGCAAACCGCTTTCAAGAGGAGCTGCGGTTTCCACCTTTTTATAGATTCCCACCTCCAAATGTTTCCAGACACCACTCTCAGGGATTTTATGGAGGTCCTCAACATCAGTTTGACAGGGATGTGCATGGCTCCAGCTATGATGGACACTCAGCTAATGAAAATGTCAGGTGGCCTAGAGATAGAAGTGAAGAGCTCTCTCAGTTAAATGAAGATTATGACAGGCTCCAGAGATGTGATTCAGAAAATGAACCTTGGGAGCGACAGCACTACTATCAGCCGCGTGACGACACACATGCAAGCCATTCAGCCCTGGTGCTGATCTTGATGCGGGGATTGCCAGGATCTGGGAAATCCACACGTGCCAGGTAAATCTGTGTGTAATCTTAATTTAATTTCGATCTATTTATTCTTATCTTATAGCTTAAAAACAGCAGTTTGACACCGATTGTTTCCCACAGGGAGCTGCTCTCCACTGGCCCCAGTGGGATCATTTTGAGCACAGATGATTACTTTGCACACAAAGATGGCTACCACTATGATCCTAGTCTTCTTGGAGCAGCACATGAGTGGAATCAGAGAAGAGGTATTGACTCATTACAATTTCAGTCATTTAATACGAGTAAAGCAACCACAGTGCCTCTGTACTGTAGTGGTTTACATATTCATCTGACAAAAAGCAAGATCCCCTGGTCTATAGAGTATTTTAAATGAATCAGCCACAACATTAACACACTTAAAAAAGAGCCTAAGGCATTTACACGGTCTCCTAAACATCTTGGTAACCAAAAGGATTCACTGTTAACTTTAATGGTGGAGACCCCTGGAAGTCCCTAATTGGTTAGTGTTGTTTTTGTGTGGGTTGGCCTACACAATTTTCAGACAGGTGGTTTTAATGTTGTGCTAATGTGCGAGTGTGTTTATTTGAAGAGATGTTTCAGTGGCCTAGCTATCCAGCATTTAAAACAGAAATGTTAAATAGGTGACTTTTTCACTGATAATGTGTGAGCAACATGGGGGCGAAAAGTGATTGTCGAAAAAAAAAAAATCAAATTAAATGGAACATAAAACAAATTAAACATTTTGGTTTAAAAACAGTTTTAATTTTCTTGCCAGAACTTGTCAGAATCTTTTCTTAATCTTCTCAGCTAGAAGTGCTCTTCATGATGGCCGGTCTCCCATTATTATTGATAATACAAACATTCAAGCCTGGGAAATGAAGCCATATGTCAAAATGGTAAGTGGCCATACTAAATATTTATTATTGTTGTTGTTGTTGTTGTTTTTATTATTAGTTAATATTTCATACCACTTTCACTAATCCTTCGAATTCCTCCAACTCCTGCATCAGGCTTTGGAGAGCGGATACAAAGTTGACTTTTGTGAACCGGACACCAGGTGGAAATATGATCCTTACGAGCTGGAGAAGTATGATTTCTGACTCATGATATTAAAATGCTGTTAGACATAGTTTAGACTTCACATTCTAACATTATCCTCTTTTTTTCTTTTTCTTTTACCTCCAGGAGGAACAAACACGGTGTTCCTCAGGAGAAGATCGCGCAGATGATGGACCGTTTTTCTATTCCCATATCCATAGACATTGTCATGAATTCAGAAGAACCGTTTCATGTGAACCAGAGACGTCAACCAGAGCAGCCACAAATGATGAGGAAAAAGCCAAATTTACATAATTTCTAAGACAATTTAACAGCTTCGTAATTTACCTTGTATGACCATTTTTAGAGTAAATATTGTGATTTTTATCATTTGTACCTGTTTTTAATATATTACTTTGTATACTGTAATTTTTTTCTAAGAAAAGAGAAAAAATATTTTTCTGAGGAAATTAAAATTGCAATTTAGTATGTAATAACAGATTTTTACAGTATGCGTATTCTTCACATTACAGAACAACAGTGAAAACCAGGAGTTTGCCCTGTTTTAAATTTATTTTTTTACTCATTTACAAGTTGTTCCAATTTTTGGTGAGCTTGATCAGTGATTTATCATCTTGGTTGTTGTTCTCTTTCTTTCTTTCTTTCTTTCTTTTTTTTTTTTTTTTAGCTAGAAATTGTTTCTTCCTGCGACATAACCAATAGGCAGATTTTCAGTGCCAAAATAGCCAAATATAAACATTGATATGAATTTTCTTTTTTAGTTTGTTACACTGGTGTTAGTGTTGTTCTTACATAATTAAAACATTGTTGGTCCAGGATCAGTGTTGCAACTGACCAGTCCTGTTGTCTGGGTATTTAGTTAGCATTAGCCAAGAAGCTAGCTAATGCTATTAAAAACTGTCACAAGTAAACCAATATGAGTAGCTAAATTTGGCTAACAGCAAAAATAGCTTGATAATATATTGTTATATAGCATACATTAATAAAGGAAACACTTGAAGTGCTTTCTATTTGTTCCAGAAGAGAGTTTTACATAAGCAAATGTTGATGCAGGAACAACACCAACATGGGAATATCACACACATTGTGTGTCTGTGTGTATAAAGAAATTTAGTCGATTCAAGTATACCCTCTGATTTTATTAGTTTGCAGAACCACCTTTAGCAGCAGTAACTGAAGTCGCAGAATTTCAGCCAAGCTTTAACCGTGAGACAGTTGACCGCACAGCTCACTCTAGAATACTTTGGTATACAGAGGAGTTTTTTGTAAACTCTGACTGCAAGATGCCGAGGTCCTGTGGCTTCCAAATGAACTAACTCACCCCTCTGCCACTGTGCTTGACAGCCGGTGTGAGGTGTTTGCTGATATGCTGTGTTGGATGTTCATCAGTAGCGGCTCTATAATATCTGCATTTTTGTCATACTTTATGTCTCCAGACGTCATTGCCCCAGAAGTCCTGTGGTTTTTCAGATGCAACTTTGCAAATCTAAGCTGTGTTGCCATATTTTTAGAGAGATGAATGTTTTTTCAAATAATATCAAATAAGCCATACGTGTTCAGTCTTTTTATATTATACTACCATGAACTTTAATATTTAACCTGCTAACTGGGGCCTGAAGAGGCTGAGATTGAGCTTTTTTGGAGACTGCAGACTGCCAAACTGCTTTTATTGAGGTGGTCACACTTACTGATTGGTCAGTTAATTAAGTGCATTGAAGCAGCAGCACCTGGCTGCTAAATGCCCTCTTATTTCCTATCAAAGCAGTAAATATGTACTTAGTTTTTCACAGGACTACACACCGTCCTGTGAAAAACAACTAAACTATACAGTAACTTCCATGTGATGCATTTTTTCTGTTTTAATGTCTTTGTGAAAACTATTTAATGCTCTTTTTAGGGTAAATATTTTATGGCAGCTAGTAGAACAGTTTCCTAGCAGAAGCGCTTAAGGATTAACAAAACAGACTGATTCTGATGTCTTTGAGTTAAAGTGTTGGTGCATAATGTTTGAAACCAATTGAAATTTTCTAATTTGAACAGAATTTTTCTTCTGTTCATAGTGGTTATTAGGAAATCCTTTCCTAAGCTGTGCTGAGTCCAAGTGATCTAAAAAAGTGTGCCTGAAGCTAAAATGAGTGTCCAAAAAGTCAGAGTTAAACAAATCAACCTGATAAAAATTTAGTGTTTCTTGTATAAAACAGATTCTTTGTGTTTCTTTGTTTGGGTGCATGAAAGGATGAAAAAGAACCTCATCTTGGCTCCTGGTAAACTTTTAAAAACATGTTTTTTTTTTAAACAAAGGCCTGTAAATTGTAATCAGCATACCGGTAAACAAAAACTAACCCTGTCAGTGTGCAAATGGACAATATTGTTTCTGTCTTCTGGCAGACTCAAAATTGGTGATCCTGCATTTTGTGTGCTCATTTGTGAAAGCGAAGCAGTAATAGGTGTGCCTCCAGTTAAAAACTGTTGCGTCTTTGTAAACACAATATGCCTCACGGACAGTTTGCCAAAGAAGAATAACCCATCTACAGCTGCTGCAGCCAATTACTGTAGGGAAACATTGAGTAGAGACCCTATTAATGTAGAAACTCTGATATAGCGCTAAACACCAAGTGTGGAGAGGTCTTTGTCTGATAGCATTCAGTGTTCATTACTGTGTGTCTCACAGGAAATCACATTTCACCCCACTGTTCCTGCTGGTGCTCATTAATGCGGCACAGAGGTGATGTTTTGTTGACTCTTTTCCCCCAATCGTTGTTGTGTGGGGAACCAGAAAGTTTTTTCTACACCACAGACTATATAGTTAAATGTGTGTCTGCGGTGTTATACTGGTTGAAAATTTTGTTTTTAAGAAAATTAGGTCGTGTTTTTGGAACTGGGACTAACATGGGACAAGTTGGTATTTGTCTTTGGGATCTTAATGTGACAGATCTGGGTTAACTTTCCTGTTTCTCTGCTTCACATTTTGCTGCACTGTTGTATGCTTAAGAACAGCATACTGATAATTGGATGCACATAAACTGAGATTTAACCCAAATGCAGTATGTGTTGGTTTGAGTTAGAGAAAGGGATCAGTGAAGGGTGAAGAAAATACCAGTGAATGAGAGTGGGCAAAGGATTATTGTCCAGAATGAAATGCCACTGTGAGGTCACACTTTTTACCAAATATTAACTTAATAATAGGAATCCACGTGACTGGTTTCACTGGTCGTAGTTTTAATTCTCTTGAAGGCAGTGTTTCCAACTGATGCTCTTCCAGTCTTAAAAATATGTGTTTAGGGTTAGTTATTTGTTTTTTAGACTGCAGTATTCAGCGTACTGCTGTCTGCAGCTTCCTATCTTTTCTGTAGAGGGTTTTTAATGCTACACCAACTTTTTACATTTTATACATTTTAGTGTTACAAATTTTCCACAAAAAAAAAATAATGCAGGTTGATGTGATATGTAAGATATGCAATAATCTCTCTGTTTCAGTGTTTGTGGAAGTTTTAAGACTGAATCTAAGTCTTGCACAAGCTTGCTTTTTGATTTTTGTAAATGATTGCCTTATTTGTTTAAAGGGTTATTCTGCACGGAACTACAAAAAAAAGTCAAGGCTAAACTGTGAAAATAAATGGTAGGAAGGAAACCCATAAATTAGATTTAACTGGTAAATAAAAACTTATTGAATCTTAAAATGCAGAGCTGGCCTCAAGTATGTTCAGTATTTAAAAAGGCTAAGCCGTCCTGTGAGTCTCCCTAAGATATAATCTGACCTTGAGTCAAGAGAATCAATGAAGAGGCCCTTTAAAGGGGATTTCTAATGGATTTGCTTTCTGTCTTTTGATGTGAGTGCAGCCCTGTCTGCAGTGAAGAGTTAGGCTAAATGGTCAAAAACTGCTATTAGATTTTCTTGCAAAATGGGTGCCGGCGGCAGAAGAACAAGATGAAAAGGCTTTAATGAGTAACTCAAGTCAATAACAAAGAAGAGAAACCGTTTTAAATTTAATCTAGACTTCACTTTTTAAAGAGAAATTACACCCTCCAAAAACATTTTCTATAAAATTAAAGGCCCTTTGGTTCCACCCTTGTTAGAATAATAATGCAAACAAGCTTGAATTAGTTATTAAAAGTCTTATCAGACCAGGAAACAGTAGACAACTGTATGTTGTCACAATTCGGCTCAAAATGAAGGCCTCACATAGATGATGTTTGTTATTTTAATTAAAGTAATAAAACCAAAAATAGTATGCTTGATTGTCAGCTAATTAATATGTACGCAACGTCTCGGTGAACTGTAAATGAATGAGTGACTGTATGCATGCAAAAATAAAAAGGAAAACCTGAGATGCTCTGTCTGTCAGTAAGCCAGCATGGGGGAGAGCAGCAGAGAAGAGCCCCTGAGAGGTTTCGACAGCCCTGCTTTATAGTGCAACCCTAACTAGGTCAGCTTCACCCACCTGTTACCTAGAAGAGAGGCAAAGACAGTCAAGAAGGAAAAAAGCTGGTCTTGTGGCTGTCACTGTAACAGAATAAGACCTTTGAACTTTTAAATCACAAACATCAGTGCTGAGCAGCACAGCTGTCGACTCCCTTATCTTTAATGTAAAAGCTTTGACCTTTGTAATCCTGGAGCTGTTTAACAAGTAGGACCTCGATGAAGCTCGTGTCTGAATGCTGATATGGAGAGGGTTATAGGAAACAGTCCATTTCCAAAGAAAAACACGATTATTCTGATGTCATAAAATCTTGTTTTGAAGGAGGATTGTTTCAGCAGCTGTCTAAAGAGGACCACATTGCAGAGGCAGGGAACTACATGGCGTTTTTATGATTTCTATTGACATTTCTATTTCATGGTCCATTATAATGGGGCGGAAAAAAGCACTGAAGACTTTGCAGTGCATTGTTCGTTCTGTAGGGGCAGCCTTTCAGTCACTGACCTTCTCCAGGCACACTTAGAAATGATCGTTCTATAAATAGCAGGGATAAGAAGTTATTATGACTGTATTGGTGGCTGGATTTAGCAACTCCAACAAACCCTTATCCAATGGAGTTACAGACCACTGCTGATATTTCTCATGCAACAGCACTGGCCAGCAGTATTTAAAAACTACCTTAGAATGTACAGAAGATCACTGTAACACAATTTGCCACTCAATTACAGGAAGTCAGGAAACAGGAAAACTCATAATTTGAGCAGGAGTTACCACACCCACACTTCCTCCTGGCACCACAAAGTCACAGTCTTTAGTTAACAACAACCAGTTAATAAATACAGCAGCAAGTGTTTTGGTGATACAGTCTGTAGGGAGCAGGCTTGGACTAAAAGGTGCCGGCTTAAATCAATGAAAGGCAAATACTATGAGATAATGTCTGTCCCTGGGAAATATTTTCTGCTGCAGAAAAATAGAACTCTGCGTGCTGAGGACTCATAAGTGTCCTTGATATATAACCATTATGAAGGATGCCATCTGTCTCCTAACTGAATTCATGATTTAACAGAGTGTTTGAAGAGACTAAAAGTAATTACTGTTGTTTAACAGCTGCTAAACCTCTGCTGAGGGGACATCTGCGTTTCTACTTATTTTCATTAGCCGCCAGTTTAAATGTGTTTGTACTGTGTACTTCTCGGGTGCGGAGGTGCGCGTCATTTTAATGTGAGAAAGCCTGCAGCAGAATGGAGCAAAAGTGTGCTTTGAATGATGATGATGTAGGCAGCTGTGATGAGTGCTCTGTGCTCCCTAAATGGCAGTGATGAACCATAAATACGTTTCTGCTCTTAAGCATCTCAGGAACAAAAATGGCAGATGAATTCACAGCTGACATGGGAAGCAGAGGACAAGGAAAAGTGGATGTGACAGGCTAATGTGCACTAATTATTACCAGAGTAGAAAACACATTAAGTGGCTTAATGGTGTGGAACTAAATGCTGTTTAATTTTTTTTATTTAGTTTTTAATATATGCAGTTCTTGTGTTATTATAACCTTAGTACCATATCATTGCAAGTGGAAGATCAGGATGAACAGGATCCTGTAGCTCACCCTTTGTACTTGGTGCTAATGAGAGTAAGTGCTATTTACAAAGCAATAAAAAATGGGGCGATCATATCTCATTGAGGAGCCTGTAATAGTAATTAATTAGCAATTAATACCAACATGTAGGTGAAACTGTAAAAAACATCTTATGGATTACTGTCAGTTTCTACTTTAATTGAATGAATTTGGGGGGGGGGGGGGGGGGGGTTGTCAGTTTTTATTGCAGCCTTGGGATGAAGTCAGGGACTTTGTAAAAGTTAAAAGCCATTAAGGGAAATGGGAAACGGGTGAAGCATAAAATGAAGGACCTCATGTTCTACCTGTCACGTTGTTTATTGTGGTTGTCACGTGAGGCTCATAGCCAATGACAGCCATGCTCTGCAACCGCACAGGGTGTCATCTTTTTACACGCTGAAAACCCATCAGTTGTGTCAAGTTATATACAAGAAGAGCGGATGCTGCATGGCGTGATTTTCAAAATAAAGGCGCAAGGGTGTGTCTTTTGTTATAGAAATCAGTAGTGGGCTGAATAGTGAAAATACATGAACATCCAATGACTGGACAAGGAGTAGGATCTTTTATATACATATCATTACACAAGTACAATTTTGATGGTTTTAGTTCTGCCTAAAATTATTTCTAAAAGTTGGTATTAGTCTATCAAAGTCAAATGAAGGAGCATTGCATCATCTATAATACAGAGGTACAAAATCAAGCTTAATTTCCATCAAACAGCTGGGAGATGGGAATGTTTGAGCAGATGAATTATTGTTCCCATAATTAATTATTCAAGAGTTGGTGTAGCCATGTGGCATTGTTTCTGTTGTATAGATACTGACTAATTGGTTTGGGCATCTGACACGAGGGTGTCACGAGAGTGGGTGTACTGGACAAAGGATGCTGAAAATGAAGCTGCCAGGCAGAAGGAAAAGAGGAAGACGTCAGGGCAGATTCATGTATAGTGAAGGAGGACCAGCAGAGCGTTTGTGCGACAGACGAAAATACTAGTGATAGGGTGAGATGGAGGCAGGTGATCTGTTGTGGCGACCCCTAGAGGGACAAGCTGAAAGAAGAAGATACTGTGATCACTTTTGCAGCTTTATTAATTCATCACCAAAGTTTTTTTGTTTGTTTTTTTACTGAGGCACGACTACTGTCACAAACCCTCAGATATTATGTGGTTTGTATCATTATATTTTTCTAGATGCAATTTTAGCTCCATCAACTTCAATAGCCTTTAAACTGGAACTGCTTACCAAAATCATGCTAGTTAAACTGCAACATTATCAGTTTAACTATCTTTCAGTAGTCCAGGTATCTTTTTTTTAAAAAACCCTTTACCTAATTTCTAACTGTTTTACAGAATTGAATGTGTAGCTTTTGCTAGTTTTACTGGATTATTGTTGGTCCTAATTGTATTTTTAAATCATTTCTACTCCATATATTGGTTTTAATTCGTTTTAGTTGTGTATTGTTGGGGGGTGGTGGGTTAATTTACATTTCGTTTATGAGATTAACATATGGGATTTCTCATTTTCACCAAATCATTGTTACTTTTTTCTTTGATTTTCGGTCATTGCAGTTTCTTAGTTTGTTGTCCTACTTTGGGTTGCTTTAATTTTGAAACACGTGACCGGAAGTTTTGCCCTATCTTTTCATTGGCTTGACAGGTGTGGAGCTCCCAGTCCTGGATTTGATGCCGTCCTTCGGCCAGTAGACTTCTGGCGGTCACACGCCGCACGTTTTTATCTTGCTTTTTTTAAACCGCCAGCACAATGTGGTTGTTGATGAGCTCGGGACCACCTTAAAGAGCACCTTCCTCTGATCCACATTACAGGTGGATCATATAGATCTATCGCATGTGCGGAGAGGGAAGTTTACCTCCACCGACCCGAGGCTAGAGGCGGATAATACAACGGCAGTTTATACGGTAAGTGATTTCGGCAGGGAGGCTGTGCAGTTATTGACACGGATTACGAGAAAGCTGTTTATGAATTGCAAATAAGTTGGTTACATTTTTGTTATTAATGCAATTCAGTATTTAAACTTTAGGCTGGTATACATCAGTTGCACATATATCAAAAGAAACTTTGATTTGGACTAAAAGTTGCAGCTCCCCGATACAGAACAAGCCCGGTACCCCACCCATTATTAAATATAATATAATCTAGTAATATAGTTAAATACGGGGCTCATTTAAATCTTGGGCGATTAATTGAATTGCAGGTTACTGTCCAGAGATTTCATCTGTCTGCCTTTGAATATATTAACTTGTTATTTACTGCTCATTTTACTAATGAGGAGGTCTGGTAGAATAAACCTCAAGATCTCTGCGCACATGTTCACGCTGGCATGCTTCACGGTTAAACCTGCTCTCCTTGGGCTCCCCGTGCTCAGCCGTCGCAGCCCTGTCTGTTCATACAGTCCTAACACCACTACATCACATAAAAGCACAGTGGAGGTCTGAGCTTGTTAACACGGCCTAGGAACGCATATTTAAAGTCACATATTCGCAGAATAGTGTACTCAGTGGCAAATGTTGTACGCAGTGGATCATGTATGATGAAAATATCTAAGTTAATATCTAAGTTATTGATTACTTACAGAATCTGTGTACAGAAAATGACTAAAATAATGGCTGATTTTTACCTTTATCCCCTGAATGCCCTGCACCTAGGACAGATCTGTGCACCAGACGTTGTCATCTGATTTAATTTTAGTTCCCATTGTCATTCAGAGGTAAAGCTCTGAGCCTGCCCAGCTGCTGGTTACATAATGTCAGCTGAGGACTGCCACAGTTTAGTGAGCAGAGGGGGAAACTCGAGTGGAATTGAGCACAGACAACACAGAATGAGGCCAGATTACAGCGTTACATAAGGGATGTTTTACTTCCACTTGGCTGAGATGATGCAGATGATGGTGGTCCAGAAATAGGTCTGAGCAAAGGATGCGGCGTACACTATATTTACAAACAGTGGAGTGAAGATAAGCTTGTTAATGCACAGAGAAGGCTCTGATTGTCAGGTCATAAAAAGAGATATTTGTGTTTCATGTAGTGCAAGTCGGGCTTTGTTACTAATATCCTGTGGTAAATGTTTCCAGTAATTTTCATTGTGTGTGCACTGAATGGGCAATAGTCTGTATTACATTCAAGGACATACCTAATGCCTTTTGAAAGAAATGGAGCCCAAATGTCTGGTGGCTTTCCTCCCTTCTAACCTTAACAAATCATCCTATGGCACTGCATGGTTCAGTAGGTTGCAATGGTCTGAACTACATCTATTAATGTTGATTTCTTTGCTGACAGTCTGTACATCCTTCTGTTTACTGTCCAACCTGAAGTGATAGAAGATTAAGTGGGTTGAAATTTTGTATTGTACAATGCAGTTACAGATAAACCTCAAAAGTAAACCCATATTTGCTGTGCACATTGATTTTACGACATATGTTAGCAGTGAATTTCTGCTGGGATACATAGCACCACCAGCTCTCATCTATCGCAGCCGATTGAAAACAACTCTTATCTCCCATCTCCGTGTCACACAGAGCAGAAAGTCTTTGTCACATTGCTCAGTACAGGGGTAAAATGAGAAGAGTCTTATGGCACACACAGTCAGTGATTTCAAAGCAGATAATTTGCAAGCAAAAAAGGCAGTGTTCAGCACTGATTTAACAATCACTTGTTGGTTAATAGTAGTGTGGGTATAAAAGATGTTGAATGCAGATAAAAACAGAGACATCTTCTTTTCTGCTGGCCTCGTCAGGAATCAGCCATTTATTTGTTTTTGCCTTTGAAAGTGTATTTCCACTGTTGATCCAAGACTTTATGAATCAATTTAGGAATTTAAATGGGAAGCTGTATTTGTGGAGAATAGTAGAGTTAGTGTTCTGCGTTGAGGTCAGCTGTATGTTAACAGTATAAGTATGCAACAAATCATGGGCTAGATTTATCCAGGATAAGATTTTTAAGGACAGGGGGGTTTGAAAGCTTATAATTATTACAGTTTAATTAATTTATTCAGCATTACAAACATGCAGTTTGTACACATGTACTTCTAAAGCTTCCTTGAAGTTAACATGTGATCGAAACTGTTTTGTGTGGGTTTGCTTTGCATGAAATTAATTAAACCACGACACAATAATCAGAAAGATCAAATAAGAACTCTGAATAGCCAGATATTCTTGTCCATTTCTTTTTGTGGCATATTTTTCTCCCCTTCTGTACCTTAATGGAGTGCACAATCCTTCACAGCTATTACAGCACTATATAACACAGTGGATCATGAATGTTAAAGATGATGAAAACAAAAGGTGAAACAAAAAGATCCAAAAGAGTTGAATTCATGCCAGAGTCATTGTTTTGGATTTCATTAGTTTTTTATGGGTGTGCCTAGTAAAGTGGCCAGTGGGGTTAGTGCTTCAGGGAGCCACAGCAGCAGCACTGCAGGAGCTGTGGGCTGCATCCTGATAAACTGGGATGACTGCAGTGGGAGCTGTGAATAACACAAACGTCACAATTATACAACCCCTGAAATTTTCTGTCGAGTTTGAAACTCTACAGCGTGTCCCTGAAGTTTACATAATGTCGGCATTACATACAAATATGCTTGAAAAGAAAACTATAGAAATGTGGGCAACAATGTCCTGTTGTTGTCAAGGTGGTTGCTGTGAGCTGTAGATTTGGGGTTTGCCGTACTGTGTTTATAGATAAAAACTCAAAGTGTCTCAAAGTCAGAGTCATTATCCAAACATTAGATGGCCTGAACTTATATAAATATTGTCCAAGATACTACAACGTAGTAAAAGAATGAGCTAGATTGATGCACAATTGTGGGTACGTTCCTTTTCATGCACAATATTGTACTCAGGGCATCATCTTAAGTGATAACTTAAAAAATAGTCTCTTTTAATCAATTAACTTTTATGAGCAAAGTGTAGTAAACCAACAAACAATCAGTATTTGGCCTGGCTAAGCTATAACATATTGATATTCAGTACTGCTGTGCTTTATTTCCATGGAAATTTAAAGTCTTTCTCAGGATTAATGAAGGTCAAATTAGGTAAACGTCCAGACCTTCCACTGCATGTGACAGTGAAAGAAATGCTGCGATATATAAACCCCAACAGCAGCATAATGCTTACTTACAGAGTGTGACGGAATCGATGAAAATCACTCACTCAAACATGATTCATGTTTGTTTTGCATCCTGTTACTGACACAAAAGTGATTTATGTGTTGACCTTTTGCTTCCCCGTTACTGTAAAACCAATTTCTCACAGCTGCTGTGGACATGGACCTGCTAAGAGCTTGGTGAGATGAGGTGTGCCTATTTGCGGTGACTTGGTTAGTTAATTTATATCCTGTAGTCTGTGTTTTTCCGCAGTTACATACTCAAAGTGACAAATTATACCTGACTTGTATTCATAGAGCAGAACCTCACTGTGCACTGCTGGATGGATGTGAGAGAGTGCACTGATTCAGCTGGTACTTGAAGTACAAAGCAGAGGGTCTGATATTAAATTACCACCTGACAGATGTTTGTGTGTCCGCTGATTATGGTTTTGAGCTGACCTTGTGGGACTTTAACAAGCATGCAGAGAGGGTCTCCACTGTGCCATTTCTATTTAACAAGTCCACACTATCACAATATTTTTTTTTTTCATGGTGAAATTCACAGTTTAATGGAAATAACCAAAAAGACTCTTCTCCCTGCAGTCATGATGCTCTGAGGCCACTGCATGAGGCCGCCTGGGCGAACATGATGGAGGAGGCTGCCAGCCAGCTTGAAAGAGATCATGTACACAATGTCTACGACAAGATTGCTCCATATTTCAACGACAGCCGCTATAAAGCCTGGCCGAAGGTACGGCAGTTCCTCCTGGAACTGCAGCCTGGGAGCATCGTTGCTGACATTGGTGGGTCTCCAGCAGTAATGTGATCCTGAAAGTCCAATTACAGCTGGCTTACATTTCTTGTGTTATGTTGTAGCTGACTGTCTTGTCTTTCCAGGTTGTGGTAATGGTAAGTATCTCCACATCAACAAGGACGTGTTCAAGCTGGGGTGTGACGTTTGTCGCCCCCTGGTGGATTTTGCCTGGAGCCAAGGACATGAGGTCCAGATGTGTGATGGGCTGCATTTGCCTTACAGAGACAGCTGCTTTGATGCTATGCTTTCTATTGCAGGTAATGGTCAGAACTATAAGCAGTTATTATAGATGAGATAAGAGGCTTTTTTAAAAATATTTCACTTAGTAACAAATCACTCCCTTCATATGCATGAGCTCAAACGCCGACATCTACCTCAAATTAAGTTAACTCATATAATGATAAACATCATATTACCACAAACTTGCGTTGCCAAGCCAACAGTGTGAAAAATAATTATTGTGTCCTACCAAAAAAAAGAGTGTAATTAGGTCCAAACCAAACAGCTGCACTATTCATTTATCTTCCATTATACACACAGTGTACATGATACCTCATAAATCCATGCTTAAAGCTGACAAATTCATATTTTTGTCACAGTCATTCATCATCTGTCCACCAAAGAGCGTCGTATTCGAGCAATAAAGGAGATGGCTCGCACTCTGCGAGTGGGCGGACGCATTATGATCTACGTGTGGGCCATGGAGCAGAAACGTCGTAAATTTGAGAAACAGGACATCTTTGTTCCTTGGAACCCCAATCCTCAATTCCTTCCCGGCCTCAACAAACCGAGGAGGAGAACCACAGCACAGAGCGTGAGCGAAGCCATAGACAACACTGAAAAGCACAGGAAGGTTAGAAGCACATCCTCTGTGGCAGACGAAGAAGATCTTGGTCGCACTACACCACAGCAGAGGACACACAAACTGTGGTTCTTCTCCAGGTCTCTTGATTCTGTGTTCGACTTCGGAAGCTTGGGGATCTCCCGTTCATCCTCCAGAGACATGAGCACTTTATCTTCCCCCACAGGTGAAAATGAGGGGAACAAGTTCAACCTGAGCGGGAGAGGACGAGGGCTTATCAAGCAAGTCTCAAGTTTCTTTTCTCCGCCATCTGTGGTCGGATCAGAAGAGGATGTCTTTGTCACAGAGCAGCACAAGGGACCGAATAATTCTGGAGGCAATGGCACCACTAACAACAGCAGCGCAGTGTCTTTAGTCCAGGAGTGTGGCTCTCTGGCTCTACCAGATCTAGTCTCCTTGCAGGGGGAGGACCTAAAGCAGTCTGGAGATGAAAGAGATGGAGGGCTGCTGGGAGAAGAGCTGCAGGAAAGCACACAGAGTCCTCAGGGGAGTGAAGGGCAGGTGGAAGGCTCCTGCCTGAGGTACTACCACGTCTTCAGGGAGGGCGAGCTGGCAGAGCTGATAGCGAATCATGTCGAAGAACTTCATGTTAAACACACCTACTTTGATCACGCCAATTGGTGTGTGGTGGCAGAGAAAGTTCAGGTATGGAAAATATGACCGGTACTTGTCATATTTGAGTTCACTTTGCATCGCCTCTGCCTCAAGTTTTAGCACTGAATTCCACATGTGAGAATAATGACATTCTTTTCATTTAAATGTGCAAATGTAGCCATTGTTGAAGGTCTAGGTAACACTAACATTCTCCAGTGCTGTAATTCTCTCATGAACTATTTAAAAATGAGATTTTTATCCATGTATTTATTTTATCCTGGAACCAGCTATATGTCAGAGCTTTTGGAAAGCAGCAAATAGATATTTTATGGAAGTGTTCAACCGTGGCCGTTACTGTATGTTGTACCAGATTATTTTTAACTATTTATTCTTTTTCAATAAATCTACAGTGTGTCTTTTAGAGTCGGTGTTTTGTTATTTAACCCTAGTGGGCTGCATCACAGCTATTGATTTGCATTTTAAAAGAACATTTCTTCTCTTGTGCTTTAAATATGAGCAGAAGAGAAATGTACAAAGCTACAGCATACTCTTCCCTCTGCTGTTATATTTTAATATATTGATTTCAGTAGAGAATTCTTTCTTTCTTTGTGTCTGCAAAATTGCATGCTGCTTATCTCTCATTAAAAGGAGCCAAATTTGCAGCTAGTATCAGCTGCGGACTTCTTGGTAACGCTTCCTGTGAAACTGCTCGTGCGTACTTTTTCATTGCACTCTCATACAAGTTTAAAATTGTGCAGAATCTCTTCCGAAACATTAGTGCCATTTTCTTGTTGTTTTACTCTACAAGTGTTCCAGACGACATGTCGCCAGTGGGCGTGTCTGTGTGTGTGCGCGCCCTTGATGTAGATATTTGCAATAGTGGCATTGTGTCTTGTAACAATTTGGTATGTCTCAGCAAATCAGAAAACTGCCTCATGTACTGTGAATAAACATTGCACTCTATCACAAGTATATCGCTGCTTGATGTCAGTGAACGACATAATAGGTGAGACTTGAAAAACTGTTTATATCCATTGTGGTGCATTTCTTTAGCTGTATAGTTTTTGTGGACCAACTAGGTTTGTCTTAAAAGTGGCAAATGTCTTGTGTGAGCTGATGTAAATACTTTGTTTTGGTTTTTTTATTAAATTTGTTTTTGTTCACGGGTGTTGTGTTGCTTCTACTCCCATTAACAACAAAGATTTGTTCATGTACAGTTTATTTCTAGAATATTTAATTGTCACACAGGTACAATTTGGTAAATGGTAAGCTAAAAGTCTTTATAGCCAACTTGCACATACTATACTAGAATCATCACCAGCCTACAAATGAAAGCCTTAATATTTGATTTGTGAGGATTTTTAAATAATTCTTTAACATGTAGTCACGTGAAGAAGATTTCCATTGGACTCTGCAGTCTATGCAATAACTTAATTATTTTACTGTAGGACTGTATTGGTCTCTCACATTGTAGTGAAATCCTCTTCTTTTTAATATTGCTTCAGTTCATTAATGTTTATTGGCATTCATTTATGCACAGCTCTTAAAAGCCACACCACACTAGCATTTAAATCTGGTCTGGGTCACTACAACACCTTGACTCTTTTCTTTTTCAAACATTTTATTGTAGGTCGAGGTTGATTCAATGACCGCAAGGTGCCCAAATCCTGTGGATACAAAACAAACCCGAATCATTATCCCTCCACCACCGTGCTTGTGAGCTGATATGTGGTCTTTGCATTGACATGTAGTGTTTTGTACCCAAAATGGCGCTATCCATTATGGACAAGCATCTCTGCTTTAGTCTCATCAGAAACATTGTTGCAGAAGTTTATTTAAATGCAGTTTTTTTTCTAATTGCATTGGAATGTTAACATTTCCGATACTACCTGAGGCTTGTAAAGTTTTTAGCTCTTAGTTTTTTATGCCCCCCCCCCAAAAAAAAGAAAATCCTCCCTAAGAGTTGTATTGTCTGACCTTTGAGTGAATTTTGTGGAATTTCCACTCCTGGTAAGATTGTGGCATTAACAGGGAGCTGAAAGCTCCATTCCAGAAAACTACCAGAAACTCTGCTTTTGTGTTTTTGACCAATTAATCAAGAGCATTTGATAAGCAGCACCTCTTGATTCCTATATAAACAGTTTTTCCACAGGACTGTACTGAGTTCCATAAAAACCTTCTTTTTCAGATGAATGTAAAAATATGTTGTTATGGTGGGTGTGATGTCCCTATAACAATATAATTGTAGTTACAAGACCATCATTGCAATGAACCAAAAATGAGTGAAATAAGTTCTAATATGTGACCGCATAAGATGTATCACTACTACAGTTAATCTCAACTGTGTAAATTAAATAAATATGCCAAAGTAACTGAAGTACTGGTCAGTTTCTAATACATTTTTGAAACTTTCCAAATGACCATGGCATTCTCTCAAATATCAGCTACCCACTGAGGATCCTCTTGATTAGGGAGCCAAGTTTTACATACCACACTCCCTCCAAACCTGAAACATGAATAGCAAGGTTATAATGAGAACTCGGTTTTAAAACTAATTGTTTCTGTACATAAAATTGGACAAACAAGTCTTCTATCTGCTGTGTTTCATTTACCTGAGTTGCTGCTCTGTGGACGATAGAGTGTCTGAGTGCCAGTTTATCAATGTCTCTAGAGTATCCTCCACCAATAACAGCAGCGATAGGGACACCTCTTTTCACCACAGTCTTCAGCACAAACAAATCTCTCTGATAGAGCCCTAAGGGACACTTGAAGTCATTCAAAAAGTCTGTAAGTGATTTGAAGGTAAAAAACACCTGGGTGTAAAACAGAATGGCTCACCTTGGTCTGTCAGGCGAAGCCTTCCGAGTTCATCTTCCCAGTGAGGATCAACCCCTGCGTCATACAAAACCAGGTCTGGGCGAAAGGTTTCCAGCAGCCAGGGAAGGTGGGCTTCAACTGTTGGGTACACCATCAGACATATTAGTGAGTTTTTAGAAGCATCGTCAATGAAAATCATCTCAACGTACAGAAAAAAAAAACAAAACAGTAGTTTCAAAATCAGCAAGGACAAAAACAACAATTCTCACAAATTGAAAACAGTAGTGCTAGAATTGCGATTCAGTGATTAGATATTTATTAAAATGGAGAGTATCTACATACCTGTGGAGAGGTAATCCTTGTCCTCCAGCCCATCCTCCACACTGATATCAAGGTCGCTCTGTTGTTTACGAAGTGGGAAATTTTTCCCACAGTGCACTGAGAATGTAAACACAGAAGGCTCCTCTTTAAAGATGAAAGCGGTGCCATCACCCTGTAGGATGTTTGACACATGAAAAAGGTTTAGCTTCTCAACAAAGACAAATCCTAATCCACAACAGAGACTAGTGCACTCCACCTGATGAACATCTAGATCCACAATGAGAACTTTGCGTTTAGTAGAAGGAGAATTAGGAGAATTGTTCATCGTGTATTTGGCTGCGACTGCAAGATCATTGAGGAGACAAAACCCCGAACCATAGCTGGGAAAAGCATGATGAGTTCCCCCTGCTGTGCTGCAAGCCAGACCCCTCTGCAGAGCGACTTCAGCAGCTAAAACAGTCCCACCTGGCAATGAGAGAGAACGTTAACAGCAAACATAATGCAATCTTTCCGGGTCACGTGTACGTCATGAATTTCTCTCACCTGTTTCATATCGACAGCGCCTCACTATGCCTTCACTCCAGGGAAAGCCTGTCCTCCTTTGCTCTTGCTCACTTATTTTCCCATTTATGAAGTTGTCCAGGTAGTCCTCGGTGTGCACACAGCTCAGTAAATCCTTAGAGGCAATTTCAGGGACCCACACCTACTGTAAGAAAGGAAAAGGCACATCAACAGGAAAATGTGCTTTCCAATAAATACTACTTTTAATAGCAGCAGTGATATTCACTATTAGTTGATCTTGTTATGTTTAGAAACTGGATGCCTGTAAATCATAAAATCAAATAATCGATTATAATCACAGGCAGATATCATAAAAGTGTCTCACTCACCTGTTTCTCTGTAATGACCTGATCTCTGAGCAAACACTGTAAAACCCGGGGAAACTTGCCCATCGGAAACCTGTGATTGGGTGGGAGGTCACACACATACTTGCTGTGATGAACTACTGGAAGCGCGCTAGATTCGTGTCTCACCTGCGAGATGAAAAAGGTGAGTTTTATAATGCACCCACTGCGGCGTTCAGGGGAAAAATACTTCAGTTCACTTTGTTTAAATTATCATACAAACTTCTTACTAGTTCAGCATGGAAGCACCTGCAGGAGGTGAGAGCTTCACCAGTCATCAACCACGCGACTTTGGAGCGAGGTCCTTTAGAGAACAGCCGCTTAATGCAGGTCATTATTAAGACAGGAAGCAATGAATGATAGTCGCTTACTTAAGACGGGAGAATGCTACATTATACACAGTTACGATGTTATGAAACGAGACAGGAAGTCCATAAAGTGTACTGTGTAACGGGATGCTTGGCTGTTACAGCGCCTCCTCAGTCTACTGCTGCCATCTTCTGTTATGGAGTGCAAATAACTTTCTGTGCTGCTGTCACGGTTTCTTTCTACTGCTCTGTTTTCTACTATAGTACAACTTGATGGTGAGTATTTTTTTTAATCAGTTGTATCCTATCCACAGATTTACACGCATATACTATTTCAGTATTATGCAAAAATCTTGAACCACCTCTTAATGTTTTATCATTTGCTAGGAGAATGTGTGCAGGAGAATGACTTGTCTGAACTCTCGGTAATATAAGTAGTCTTCACAAGTAAAGTAGCGCTCCAGGTTTATTGAAGGACATTTCAAATCTTTTTTTTTTCTTTTTTAGTTGGCTGGTTTTTGTTTTATTCTCTATCAACATGACCCCACACTGCTTTAATAATGTTGAGGAGAAGCTATTCCATCACTGATAGTGATCCGTTATGTGTTTTTCTATCCAGCTGTGCTTTCACTGCGTTAGGATTGTGCTTAGAATGATTGTCATGCTGAAGTGTACTTCTGATGACTGTAAACACGCATTGTTTTACCTCTCTCATTTGGGTTCATCACTCAATAAGAGCTGCCGTCACTGATTTTCAGTCCAGTCCATTTGTTGGGTAATTTAGCATACCTCAGCCATTTCCCCCTGTTTCCCTTCCTTAATAATGCCTTCTTGATAGCCATCCTTCCACTCAGACCATTCATGATGAAGCTTCAGCAAACAGTAAATGGATCGACTGAAGGGCCAGATGCGTCTCTCAATATCTCTCATGTCCTGTATCAAGTCTTATTTTTTCATATTTCTTAAGGACATGAATTGCAGATACTGTTCATCTGGTGGGGATAGTTTTTTTTTTTAGGCCTGCTACTTTTTTTCTGCTCTCCACTTGTCCAGTTTCTTCATTTTTAAGGACACACTAAACAGGATGTTTAGTGTTTAGTGTGTGTGTATTTAATTCCTGTCAGACTGTTTTATCTTTGGTATTTTTCATAGATTCAAGTAAAGAAATGGAAACGATTGGTGTTTATGTGACAGGCTGCGCATAACAAAAAGTACTTAATTTAAAATTGGTTCTCTAAAATTGTCTGCTATGTGAGGAAAAACAAACACTGGTTTATCCCTTAAGCTAGGCACCTCTTTTATGCTTGAATAATTCTCAAATCAGTGTGATCAACAAACAAACAAACAAAAAGCAAAGTGAAAAAAGCAAAAATTTGAAAGACCTTCAGAAAGCCTTAGGAACTATTGCTTAAAACCAATTAAAAGCCAAACAAGAAAGCCAGACTCCTTGGAAACAAAATATTAAGAATGGGGGGTGGAACAAGATTTTTGTACTGTCGTGTGCCTATGTATATGGGTTATTAATGTAACATGCATGCTTCTGTTTGAAATAATTAAATTAAGTACTTGTAAATTAAGTAGTCTATTAAAAAAAAAATATATATATATCTATATCTATATAGATATAGATATATATAGATATATATATATATAGATATATATAATTTCAAACTTCAGGTAGGCAAGTACAATTTTCATTTCAGTTATCACAATCAAGCTAAAACTAGAAAAAGCACTAAATGATTCTAAAAAAAATTTATTTTCTTTTATTAGCTTAAGGGTTCATATGAGTAAAGGTCTGTATTGCAGGCCATTCAAAGCCATGTGAGAACAAGTTTTTTGTTTGTTGTTGAGGGAACCATGATGTTACTACATCTGGCTCAAATCCACATCTTGTTCCCCTGATGTTGTAGTTTAGTCGTCATCCAGTGAGCAGCATCCGCTGAAGTAAGCTGCTCAGATTCCTGAGTTAGGGTCAGAAAACAGATGGATTGGCTTAGACAAGGCTGAATGCACATTCTTTATGTGGCTGACTGTGAATGTCATCTGAAGAAAAAACTAAACAAAAACGTAAGTCTGTTATATCCTGTTTTTAACATACAAACCTTTATGGCATGGTCAAACATAAGTTTTTTGTTTTCTACCCACACACTGCCCCTCCTTTCTACTATATTTCCATATAACGGCAGGGGTAATTGTTTTGTTTCCACTTCCTGTCCGATGTTTATCTGTATCCTGACCATCTTTAGGCAATCGTCCTGTGTCCTCCTTTGTTCCCATCACTGTCAGCTCCATGTCAGCACACCATGAACTGAGGTGGTTAATCATAGTGAGAGAGGATGATTTATGGTGTTACAGCAAAATCATGTCAGAGCCTGAGAGATTTATTGTCTTCACTCCCACATGTTCCAGCTAAAAGTTGCAGAAGGGCTCTGTGGCAAGTAAAGTATTACAAATATCAGCAATTTCTTTCTTTTTATAGATGTAAAATGTGATAATTTAGCTAAAAGAATACTACAGTGTTCTTGTCACTGTACTGTCGTGGATTTGAGCTGCTTTTGTGTCTGGTTCTACCTCTCTGGCTGTCTGTCTCACATTGCTTGCAGGCAGCTCAGGGCACCGTCTGGCAGACTGCTGGCTCTTCATGAATATGTGTGTGTGTGGGGGGGGTGTGTGTGGATGTGTGTGTGTGTGTGTTAGAGAGAGAGAATTGTCTGGCTGATTGGGGTTAGCACAGCCCCCTGAGAGTGGCTACTGTACTCACTGGTAGATAAGAAATAAGACGAGCATGCTGGCCTCAGGTGCAGAGGGGAAATCTCTTCATAATAGAGAGAGGAGATTAGAGAGGTAAAATCAATCACTGACTTCATTCCTGTTAACAGGCATTTCGAATAGAGAGAGATGAAGGTGGCTGTTCTTAACTGAAAGACTCCGATATATCTTGACAGAGGGATTGTGCTGGCGATAAAGGTTATATTAATTTATTATGGTGGATTTTCTCTTTTGCTTTGGTGTTTTACTAAATTTCATCTCATCATTGTAAAGACCATGTGCTCAGTCTTTTATGACAAATCACTTGTACACGTGGCGCATGAGTGTTCCAGGCAACCAGTGATTTCTATTAATTTCCCTACAGTGTCAAAAATCTACTAGCTTATTTGCTGAATTTTCTATTTGCTGTGAGGTGCAGAATGAGTAGAATTCTGGGATTTTCAGTTTTTTATTATTTTCAGAGTCACTTTGATCCTGAAGATTTATTTTTATGTGCTTCTATTTTATTTAAAGCTTTTTGTGTGTTGTACTGGGGGGAGCCCAGTCAGAAGCACCCAGTTTCACCTATACAGTTTTAATGAGTTCATAATGGCCTCGGGTCCTAATTTAAAGTATCGCTCACTCTCAGGAAGCAGAGGCACTCTAGCAGACACTGGGAAAGAGACTGCTTTCAATTATTAATGTGGACTATACACAGATGAAAGCTGCAATTTGTAAAGAAAAGCATATATTTTGAGCAGCTGGAGCTTTTCAGTATCAAGTTTGCATGTTCTGCCTGTGCCTGTGTGGGTTTTCTCCTTCAGTCTAGGGAGATCCATGTTAGGTTAACTGGTGATGGAGGAATGGATGGATTAAGTATATGTTTTCATTTTACACAACATGAAATTGTTTTTAGCTTCTCTGATATGTAATTGCTGCTTAAATTAATAAACATTATTTGGTATTTGTTGTGTGTCATTAGGATGAGGACTAACAGTCCAAATATTCAGTTTACTGTAAGGAGGACTAAGAAAACAGTAAATAATCATATTTAAGCAACTAGAATCAGGATAAATAAAGAATTTTCTCATTTGATTTTTTAAATTCTTTTTCATTTTCAGGTATATATATATATATTTTTTGTTTGGCACTATAATCATGTAAAGTGGAGTAACATGCAATAAAACATAAATTACATGTTAAAATACTGCAAACTTGATATTTACTGTGATTTATTTTAATTCTAAAGCAAGTTCATGATTGCTGAAGACCAAGAAGACTATAACAGCACTAACAAGGCATCAAATACTGCAGTATATTACTTTGAAAATCCATCCATCCATCCCCACTATCATGTTCAGGCTTACCAGGGTCGAGGGGTTGAAACCTGTCATACAGCGAGAGAGAGTGAGAGAAAATGAGAACCACATTGTGAAGTATGATATCCATGACTTAGATCAAATGTTAAAGTGTGATAACACCCTTGTGTAGTTCTGCAGTATTTTTCACAAGTGAAGCAGAAAGCAGAGTTGACGCACAGCTGTGAGCTGCAGTCTGCTTCAGGGCAGCTGTTTTCAAGGCTTGCAGCTCCTGCATCTCATTGCCGGCAGCAACAAAGAAAGAAGATGACAACTGCTGGCCTTTGATCTGTTTTTCTCTTTCTCTCATCAGGCAAAATACGAGCAGGTTGACTAAAGTGAGAAAGCTTTTCTTCCTCATCGTGGCATAAGTTACAATTGGTTCCTTGCTTAGAAAGCAAAGTTGTTGTTTTTTTTTTCAACTAAAAAAACAAAACAAAACAAAAAACGTCCCCCGAATAACATTTATTATACACAAATGCATGATCAATTTTATTCTGCACGCAATGTGTTTTTAACCAAATGAATAACCCTGTCATCTCCAAATAGCCCTGTCATCTTGGCATGTATTTTCATGTTCCAGGAAGCAGCAAACGTGCTAGTTGTCTAACCCAAGTAGGGGAGTGTGTGGTGCAATGTTTGCATCAGACACTGGATTTGAACATACCTGTCAATTACACAACAATCACAACATCAAGCCCACAAACCCCTCTGTGCGCACCTTCCACCCCTCAACTCCGAGCGGAAAGAATTCCTTGGTAGATTGCGAGCGCTTGTAGAGCGTGTTGCAGCAGGTGAGAGCAGGAGTGGTTATTGGATTGAATTAATTTGTAGCTGCTGTTTCTGTATGATATTGACGGCCTGTTGCTCGTTCCCTCCGAGGCAATCCTCTGGTCACACGAAAAGTATAATGGACTGACTCCTCATCCAGTCCTGTGTTCCTATAATCACATACATCCAGGTGAGGCAGCCTGTGTTTGGGCTGTGGTATAATTTTCT